CGACATCACTATATAAAGTATACATGAAGTAAAAGGCAAGACATTGAGTCTTACATGAAGCGATTTCCCATAGCCACGAACACGCTCCGGGCGTAAATCGATGTTAAGAACTAGAATATTATTTTTCTTGTCATATCTATTCTGGTGGTACAAATTTAGAAATCCGCGTTAAGAGTTAGACACAACAAAAGGCAAATATATAAATTCTAATACAGAGATTTAGGGCAGCCTAAAAGCGTAGCTCCTGGGCCGGGTTGTCCAGAGCTCGATTAAGCTAACCCAGGATAAGGTAGAATTTTGATTTGAGTTTTGTAACTTTGCGGTGAGGATTTCTGTGTATCGTTTGGCCTTCTGCTTTCAGTTTTAATAATCACAATAGACACAAAACAAAGCAGCAAAATACTTTTGTATGGAAGAAAAAGTTATAATTCGGTTAACTTTTAATCCTGGGTTAATCCTGGGTTTAAAACGTTCGTGCGAAAATTTATTCAATGTAGAGCATTTCTGCGGTAAGATATTAAGTACCAGCGTCAGAAATTCAAAGACTAACTAACTTTACACGGTGCAAGCGACTGTAAAACGGCCCTAAACGGCGGATGTTCGAAACCTGGGGGGGAATTCCTATATGAAATGGTCGGGGATGCTCGCCGTCTCGGGTAAAAATCAAGGATTCTGGTCTCACTTAGGGTGTTGACGACGAAACGTCACCATTTATTCCGTTTTAAGTGGTATCTTTTAGGGGTGTAGTGAAGCTCGAGGAACTCCCATATTGGTCTCCTTTAGGAGTTGAATTCCAATTTTCCGACATGCATCCCTGACCTTTTCATATGGGAGTTCCTCCACCCACCCCCCGCCACCCCCGGGGTTTCAAATGTCTAACAGGGAGTGATGGAGTGAAATCGCTTCACCACTACAACTTGGAAAATAATAGTTTCGAAGTTAAAAAGCAGACAAGGGGACGCGAACGGTTGTCTTAAACACTGAAGATAAAATTCTCAATGGACAAATCCAGTTAGACGACCTTGAACACCACAAACCCCTTGAACGTTCTATGGTTGTAGAGACGTCCCTAGGGGTACAACAATTAGTTAAAGAACTCCACCAGCACAACTATATCGATGACACATGACCAACCTATAGTTTTGTCAAACATCTAACCCGCCTCGCATACCATGTTCTACACGCTCACAAAATTTCACAAACCAACTCCAGTTGGAATACCCATAATATCTGGACGTGATGGTCCGACTAAAAGGCTGTCTGCATTTGTAGACAAACTCCTTCAACCCATAGCAAAAGAAGAGGAGGCACATCTTAAAGACTCGACGGACTTCATCAATTTCATAGAAAAAACGAGAGTGCCAGAGAACGCTATCCTTGTTTCAATGGAAGTCACAAGCCTACACACAAATATACCTCAAGAGTAGGGGATAGAAACATGCAGTATGCAAGGGATACGAATCTTACTATGAAGGACAATCCCCTATCCCAACACAATATCTTAAAATAGCGCTTGAACTGG